GGGGGGGGGAGGGTTAAGCAAGCAATATGTAGAGAAGAGAATTGCAAATTGTATGACAGAAGCAAAATATGCGGAAGTGCAGGGGATATGCTGAGGGGCAATATATGCAGAAGCATAGTGTGTGCAGAATATAGCAGCAGGCGGTTTTATGTACCCCTAAATCATCTAGCAAGGGGAAGGGGGGTCAGATGCCTGGGTGCCCCTTTTTTGTAAAGGGGGCTTCCAGATTGTGAAAGTTTCCCCCTCCCCCCGCATACCTTTTGGGGAACAGAATGTAGGAATGAGGCCCTTTCCAACAACCCATAGAACATGCCTGGAGAAGAGTCTTTTTATTTTTTGTAAAAAATGTCCATCTCTTTTAGAAAAAAATGCATGGGGTTTGCCTTGCGCTTCAAACCAGGCCCATATCTAGGCAGGCAGCCTAGCTGAGAAGACTAATTGGAATCTTGAAGCCTTTAAAATAAGGGGACCCCAATATCCCGCTCTCCCTTTCCTGGATAAATGAGTAAGGAGTACATAGTACCCCTTGATACTCATTCACAAAAACAAAATAGTATATAAATCACCCACAACGTGGAAAAAGTCCTTATTTAAAAAATAATGCCCCACGATTTAAGTTCAATCATGTTGTAAAGCGATGTAGAGCCATGTCAACTATAATGATCCGCTGCTATGACAATGCTGCACCACAGCTACTCCCTTTGCAAATGACAGCCCCCTAGTGTTGATGGAATGTAAATACAGCGACAGAGACCTCAGGTGATGTTATTGACCAAATATTGTCATGTTTAGCAAATTTGTGGCTGGGTTTGCCACACTGAACTAGGCCAAGTTTGCTCATCACAAGTGGTTAGCATTAACAGATGAAGAATGAACAAAAAAATAAATAAATATACGTTGGTTTAAGTAACATCACAACTTTAGCTTTTCCAGTATTATAAGAAAATACAATATTAAACTGGATGGGCCGCATTTTCATTAGCTACTTTATTTTCTGTGTAAAGTTCTAAGTTAGACTAAAACAAGACAGATTTAATGAAAGAAGGCCTGTGGAATTTGGGTCCATAAGGGTCTGCCCCTTCAAAGTAGTGACTTGGAAACCACATATAAAATAAAAGGTTGAATTTAAGATATATGTGACACTATCAGAGTCAGCTCATTGACATGTACTTGGCTCTATGTTTCTACGTGTAACTACATGTTCTATTAATCCCTATGGATGATGAAGCTAGGTGAGTACAATAGTGAACAGAGTTATATTCTACATATTTATTGGCTGCCAGGGTCCATGCTTTGTGCTTACCTGCACTGTGTTAAAACACTGTTCAATCACAGAAGTGATTACAGTCCGTTAGAAACTGCAGCAACATGAATAGAAGTGTCTGGAATTGCGATTATTCTGGAACACATGGCTCTGAAGGCTTAACTTCCGAGCTAATAAAGAAGAATTCTTCAATGCTTACATTATAGGATACGTGTTTGCTACAGCTAAAGTATCACTATGAAACCAATGGTAGATCTAAATATTAATTACTAATGAAAGTAGAAATGAAATCATGAGAGCGTAATTTAGCTACAAATCTTTACATTTAATTAAAACAAACAGGCCTTCAGAGCTGCAATATGAGCCTGACCTGACAAATGTGAAGTGATGCATCTCTGCTTGGTGAAAATGTAACTGCTTGACATGTGAAACTTGTGTTATTACCATTCATTGTCACTTCTCAAATGACTGGCACTGAGCATATTATTTCTTTGTCACACATTATCATTTTCCAGCAAACATTTAGATAATAAAAAAGTAAAAACAATGATGACTACTTAAGCAGTATGTTCATGTCAAATACAAGCACAATGACAAACATTGTCCTCTGAAGTACATCCTCCTCAATATTAATCCTGAACAATTTCCATATTTTCATAATAGTGTAGCAGATACATTCAAGAAGAAAAAACATTCAAAAACTGATATTCTGGTTTAAATTTTATAGAAATTCTTGGGGTGAAGCTAAATAAGTTCTTCACCAAAGCAAACCTTCAACCTGGGCATCACGTTGCCTCAATAATAATAGCAATCATTATAATCATTATTTGCACATTATCGCAAACTTGGGTGTACGAATGCATCTTCGAGGCAATAACATGATGTGACCGTCATTAGTGGAATCAGGGAGACAGATATGAGTACTCCTAGTTGTTGTCTAAGTTGTGCACGCTGACACTATGGGTCTTCTAGTGGTTACTATCACTGCTACACAACTGCTAAAGCTAAAGATAGTGGCTAATCGTAGTAGCTGAAAGCTACTTTTGATAATTTTGTATAAGATATGTAATAAAAAAGATGCATAGTAAATAAAAAGTAATTAAAGAAAACACATCTAAAAATGACAAGAAGTTCAAATGAACATGTGGTCATATCCCTTGATGTCTTCTTTGGTACACCATCACTCAGCAAACTCCAAACTGCCTTCCCAACCTTCAGCATGACCCTATGTCACCAACGATGATGACTAGCCAATTGCTTTAAAACAAAAGATTCTCATCACTCATTCAACACTTGCAATTAGGGATGCACCGATACTAGTATCAGTGTCGAGTATTTGGGCGAGTACTCGTACACCCAAATGCTACGATGCCTAGCTTGATACTTCTAGTATCAGGAAGCCGGGCATCGCGCCATTACACACTGCCCGGCTTCCTGATTGGTCGGGGAAGCTGGCTCCATGCTCTCTCCTCACTTGTGGGAACGGCTTCCCTGCTAATCGGGAAGCCGGGTGGCAAGTCTTTACACGCTGCCCGGCTTATCAGGAAGCCAGGTGGCGAGTCACTAAACGCCACCTGGCTTCCTGAATGGGACTCCGGTACTCGCCGATACCAAATACCGAGTCCCGGAAGTCCCATTCAGCAAGCCAGGTGGCTTGTAGTGACTCGCCACCTGGCTTCCTGATAATATTGGTACTCTTACTCTATACCGAAATAGCGATATCTGTGCATCCCTACTTGGAATGAAGCTGCACTATTTAGCTGTAATGCAGATATGTTCTGTGGCTTATACTTAATGTATTTGACGGTACATCACATAATTACAAGCATGTTTCTGTGATTTTGTTCCTGCTTTCTTTATACCAGTGCAAAACTAATCCCATGAGATGAATCTTGTATTTCCCCCTCACAAGCTCTTGTAGTTGCATAGAAATGTGACGTCTCTTGCACAGCTCAGCCCTTATGTGGAGAAGATGCATAAACATTAACAAAATGATTGCACTCACAGCAAATACAATGCAATATACAGTATGAATTGACATTTATTCTCTAGCTATTTTCAAAACAGAACAGCATGACACCGCATTCTCATACATTAGGACCTGCACAGACTCACCAATAGTTGGTTCTCCGTCAGCACCAGTTCAGTGAGGCTTTCACATTCTCCAATGCTTTCAGTCAGCTGCATGAGGTGATTCTGGTCCACTTTAAGTATTGATAACTTTTTAAGTTTTCCTATCAATTGGAAAACACACAGACATCAGATTTTGAGAACATAAATCACATGATTCTGTAAATTAGAATATGAATCTCAGTATTATCTAAACTGTACATTCTGTTGAAGCTGATCCACATGACCCTACTACCGATTTCTTTATGAATGCACCAATTCTTAAAATGTTCCAAAAGTATGCATCTGAATTACAGCTGCATTATTTATTGGACCTCTCCTCTCTTCGTGCAAATGATAAATGTCATATAAAAAAAATTGTTTAATGAATGCAAAAAGGTACTTATTAAAAAAAACATTGTGAATGTTTCACTTAACACTTCAGGCCATATCTCAACACCAATTTCGTAGCAGCTGTGAATCTCTCAGTTTATGTTTCCCTGGCATTTTGCAGCTATCTACAGGGTAGATGCTATAGCTGGCTACAATGTCCCTGCGACATACAAGTTGCTGGAATTTTTTATTGACTGCGGTTCATTTATTCTAGCAACAAAAAGAGAAAGGAGGGGAAATTTGTATCTGCGATAAATCCCTGCTGCAAAATCACTTGTGTGACAGCCAAAATATTCTGTGGGGGATTTATCAAAACTGGAGCAGATGTGGATGGCAACCAATCAGCTTCTCTCTCATTTTCACATCTTAACGGAACAGACAGAGAGCAGCTGATTAGTTGCAATGCACAGCTGCTCCAGATTTTGTCTGCGCCGTTTTTGATAAATTCCCCCATCTGTATTTAAACAATCAGCTACTCGTTTGAAATGGACCATGCAGCAAAAAACAAGGTCTGCTCAAAATGCCCGGGCCCCTTCCCCCTTAACAAAATCACCTACTGTTAGTAAAAGTAAAATTTACCTATTCAGCATCACTGGGCATTATGTCACCGTCCTTCCTGAAAAGACTCTTGGAGAATCCAGAGATTTTGGCCAAAGGGAATACTACAGGAATACAAATCTCCACTTGGTCTGGTAGATGGCAGGGACCAACAGCTAAAAGAGAATCTGTGTATAGCCCTTGCGACGTGACGCTTCTAGCCCACAGTGTTTATATTTGTACGCCCTTTACAGCCTGGTGTCAGGCTATTCTGTATGCCAACATTCTAGCTCTGGAGAGGACTTCCAGGTACTAGAGGGTAATTGTCATGAACAGATAAGTAGCAGCAATGCTACCATTTTGTGGTTTTCTACACTTAAAAGGAGAACTATGGGGTCAGTGTTTTTCCCCATAGTTCTCCTTAGGGTAACGGGAGGACACAAACTAGCGTCCTCCCGTTACCCTAAGCTCAGTATACTGCGAGCTACAGCTCGCGGTATACTGAGACGCCACAGCCGGAGCGGATCCCGACTTAGACGACGGGATCCGACCAGCTGCGTGAGTGACAGCTGGCTCTGCCTATTTAGAGGCAGCGCCAGCTGTACCCGCCCCCTCCCCCGTCCGTTCCGCCAGTCAGCGCTGACAGATCGGAGCAGGGAGAGGGGAATCCAGCTGCCCCCCTGTCACGGCAGAGAGCCGTGACAGGATCGAGAGGTGAGCGAACCCCGTATGTGTTCGCTCACCTCCCGATCTACTGAGCCGACCTGTGACAGTCTCATTGTCACAGGTCGGCTAGAACTATGAGGTGAGTGAAAAGCACTCACCTCATAGTTCTCCTTTAAGTTTCAAATATTGGGTGCAGGCCATCAGATGCTAGATTTTTATAATTAAACTAGACTTCAGCAGGTTTCCAATACAGAGTACAGCCTGCCTGCCTTTGTTCAAAGTTCTTTATATCTTACCAGTGCCATCAGGTAAAACCTCAATTAGGTTCTGTGACACAAGCAGGTCTGTTAATGAAGTCAAACCGCTGATCTCCTCTGGAAGTCTTTCCAGCTTGTTTTCTGACACATCCAAACAAAGCAAGTTTTTCAGGTTTCCTATTTCCTGCAAAACAGTGAACAAGACAAAACAAGTCTAAATAAGATTCACATATGTCCATACACATGCCATGTCCTCCTGACCTTGGCTTATGAAACTTACCAGAAACTGTAAATAAAAAAAGGTTTAAAGTAAATAAAGCTAAATCTTAATCTGATTATATGCAAGTACATTTTCTATCCATTATAAAGGCACAATCCCAGAACTGCTCTGTAAATATTTCTGGCCTGTTATCTTGCACTAGACAAATTCTCATTTTGATGAAGCTGGCTTGATGCAAAGACCTTTTCATTTAAATGTGAAAATTTGTTCTTAGTACAAATTTAACAAACTCAGTTAAAGGAATTTGCCTTTTCCAAATAATAGCTCACAAACTCAGAAAGCAGATAAGGACAAGTACATCTAAAATACAGTTAATATAAAAAAACAAACAAAACAAAACTGCTAATCGTTTTCCCAATTTTTTCCACACAGTCTTTGCCTTTAACGCCTTGAAAAATTACTCCACCCTAAAGACTGCTGTGACGCATTACTTCAATAGTGAAGTGAAGGCGTGTCTGTTTCATTTCCAAATCTGTCCATTTTCAATGTAAGCATTTTGCAAACTGGAAAAAACAACAAGCAAGAATTTGTGGCAAAATTTGTCAAAGGTCCAAATATTACTTCATGGATATAATCAGGGCCGGAATTACTCTCTCTGCTGCCCCAAGGCCAGGTTCCTCAATGTGCCCCCCCGCCCCCCCCAATGGAGAATGGCAACAAACTGGCAGGGGCGGCATGGTTGGTTTTAATGTTTTCTTTATTGATTTTTTACTATATCACTTTATTTTTAAATTTTTTTAACTTTTTGAAATTGTTATTATCTTTTACTTTATTATTTAAAAAATAAATAAATGTCATTTAACTTCATTGCCATCACACAGGAGCTAACACGCCCCTGTGTGATAGCATTTGGAGGTGACAGGTTCTCTTTATTGAACCTTGTTAAAGGAGAATTATGAGGTGAGTGCTTTTCACTCACCTCATAGTTCTAGCCGACCTGTGACAATGAGACTGTCACAGGTCGGCTCAGTAGATCAAGAAGTGAGCGCTGACTGGCGGATCGGACGGGGGAGGGTACAGCTGGCTCTGCCTCTAGATAGGCAGAGCCAGCTGTCACTCACGCAGCTGGGCCGATCCAGACAATTGTCGGGATCCGCTTCAGCTGCGGCGTCTCAGTATACCGCGAGCTGCAGCCCGCAGTATACTGAGCTTAGGGTGACGGGAGGACGCTAGTTTGTGTCCTCCCGTTACCCTAAGAAGAACTATGGGGGAAAGCCTTAACCCCATAGTTCTCCTTTAAAGATGGTAATTTCAAGCCTGATGAAGGGGACCCTGTGTGGCCCCGAAAAGTAGCTATTTGTTTTGACATGAAGCGTCAATAAACAGACGTGTTCTTCACTTCAATATGGTGTGCTGGTGACATCATTAACAAGTCTCAGTATGGGGGGCACCATCCGCGGTCACTTTGAGCACCCACACTGACAGGGATACCCGGTAAGGAGTGCATCAGGATTCTGGAATACATATGCTCTTTTTTAAACATGTCACCTCCAATACATGAGTTATAACACAGGATTGTGCTGGCTCTCCTGTGGCAGCTCATATGGGAAGGCTGCGAGTGCAGCTTTCCTGTCTCGGTGTTAACATGGAGCAGAGTGTGAACTCATTCCAGAACTAATCTGCTGTGGTCCTGGGTCCCCCAGAAGACCAGAGGAACCCCAAAAACCATGGTGGGAAGGGAGACGGCTAGATCGGAGAGCGGCAGAGGGGGGCAAACCTACAGGCATATTACAAGTGATCTTGGCGGCATCACTCGGCAGCCCGAAGCCCGGATCCGTTTCAATTGCGGCGTCTCAATATACTGAGCTTAGGGTGACGGGAGGACGCTAGTTTGTGTCCTCCCGTTACCCTTAGGAGAACTATGGGGAAAAGCCCTAACCCCATAGTTCTCCTTTAATAAAAAAATAAAACACAATTTCAATCAATCATTAAAGTGACACTAAACGAAGAAGTTAAATCTCAAAAATGCATTCAAGTACCTTAACTATTAACAAAAATGTATCTTATGTATCAACTCATCTCTGAATTGGTGGTGACACTGTCCTTCCTTCTGGAGAGTGTCTACTTTTGTTCTCCATGGTCCCAGTGTGTGTTGTAAAGTAGCCACCACTCCAAACTCACTCCATGATGGACTGTAACTTTGATACATATTGGTAAACTAAACATGAGATTGTAGTCCATCACAGGAATGAGCTTGCAGCGGTGGCTACTTTACATCACAAACAGGGACCATGGAGAACAAACTTAGCCACCATCCAGAAGGAAGGACAGTGTCAGCACCAATTCAGAGATGATTTTAGGAACTACAGCTGAGTGATACACAAAAAGCAACTACTTTTTCTCTTAATGGCTCTGTTATATGTGCTCGCTAAGTGCAAAAAAAACCCTTTTGATGTTGTCAAATTCAGGAACTGTCCTGCGCACAGTTTTTATCTACTGCAGAACAAGAAAGAAAGGGATGGGGGGATCACTAGTTTAGCAAAAGGCAACTTGGCAGGGCTTACACCATTTCTTGTAAATTTCAGTCGACAAAATCTTGTGTTGCCAGCACACAACAGGAAATTAAAACCTGAATTTGTTTTTGGCAGATCGAGTGGCATTATTCTGCACTTTGAGTTTTTGAAGGGTTAAGGTAATGATCAGTACCAGAAAGGTTTTCTGTACTATCAAAATACCAACCTCAGATCTTGTGAAAAGAAGTCAAGGAAAAATTATTCTTAACACTTGCAGTGGGGCAAACCCCGCACTGCAAGGGTTAACCACTCGTTTTCATCTAGGGTGTAAAACAAAAAAAATTATACTTACCTGAACTTTAGAGACTAGTCCTTCCAGCCTCTCTCCCCCTTCGCTCCGGACAGACTGGATGTGCCAATTTAGGAACCAACTGGCTCTGAGGTTCAGGCGAGAATAGAATTTTTATTGTAGCAGCTAGATGAAAACGAGCACTTAACACTTACAGTGCGGGTAGATTTTTCACGAAGTTCAAGCAATGTGCAAAGTAAACATGTAAAGAAGTTATAGAGATGTTATTATAGTATTAAGGCTGAACGTCTGGCATAGACTCTTAACTATATTTCTCAATAGCCACAAAGGATATAAATCCACATTGTGTGCACCAAATGCCTCTGCAAACCCAGTTATGACCTTGCATAAGCTGCAGTGGCATCATTAGTGTGCTGCACAGAGAACAGAGTGGTGACACGGACACAAAACAGGTCCAACCACTACAGGCTGCCAGCAGAAAACTACAAATGGGGAGATACAGGACCAGTCACCTTGAACAAGGACCAGTGACTGGTCTTAATGACAGGAAGCTCTTGCACAAAGGAAAAGTTTTACACTAGATAAAAAGCACAGATCTGGAAAAATACACAAAGCACACCAAGACTCAAGTAAAAATACTCATGCCCCTAATACTTAGACAATATTTGCTTATCCTGAAGTGATTTAGCCTATTTTGTGTAAATTAAAGAGAAATACTGCTGGCAAAGCCTAAACAGGAAGAAAGGTGTGTTTATCATTCCTACAAGAACAGGTACCACAAAGTGCACCTTTCATTTTTTGCAAAGCTTTAATGGTATGTGCATGTGAAGCTCTCTGAACCTAGGCACACATTTCTGCAGTTGTTGACACCAGCAACAAAATGAATAGAGTTCTGGCCCTCTGACACTTTACAAGACGAGGAGAACATTGCAGCATTTGCTTTTAAAGTGGACCTTTACCCCAGCTCTGCACACTGATATAAACTCATCTTACATTCAATAAACAAACATATTTTAATTTTACAATTTACTTACAATCCTTCCCAGGATGTAATGTGACCAAGGTTTGCATCCTGGGAAGGTTACATCAGCGGCGCATTGGTAGGAAATCTCATCTGTAACCTCACAAGATCCCAGGGAAAGGCTTTTCCTCCCCTGAGATGATGTGCATGGTCACATGTCCTAGTCACATATGCCAGAGTTCCAGGAAGTAAAAGGGAGATGTATTATTCTGCCCTTTGTAAAAATGGCCACTGTGAAAAGAATGGAGAGGAAAAGAAAACAAGGAATGCAAAGAGTAAGAATCCTGCAGTTATCTATAAGTATCTGTTTGTGGATTGCATTTCTAAACACTTCTAAATGTTTTTAACTAGAGTTGACAATTGCAGCATGTGCGCACCCAGATTCCAGTAATTTTTGAATTAATAAAATTAATGCCTGATCTTCCTGGCTGGTGTTATTTGATAATGCCCTTTAACAAAACCTTACAAACAAGCTTTCTCCTTTACAAAGGTTATGATATCGTTCTAAAAATGTCAGAAAGCTTGTATCCAGCAAAAAGAAAACATATAATGCCAATTTAAAAATATTCATCCCATTGGACGTTTTCAGGTTTTATTGTCATAGAACATTGAATAACAGTGGGTTTAGTTTTTACATTTTGACCCTAATCAAAAGAAAGATACCCGTAAATGTCCAAGTGAAAACAGATCTCTACTAATTGATTTAAATTAATTACATTTTGCCAACAATTGGGAATATACACAACAGCACCCCATACAGTAGGTATAGAAAATAATTACCCCCCTTTAAAATAATCCAATTGTGTTGCTTTGCAGCCGGAAATGAAGACAGACGCAGTTTGTTTTATCTAGCTGTATTTGCTCAACTTATAACATCCAAGTCTAAGATATAACACAAACGTGAAAAAAAAAATCAAAAACAGAATCACCGAGTTGGAAAAAGGATCGCCCCCTTGTGTCAGTATTTTGTTGAACCACCTTTTGCTTTAATTACAGCCTTTAGTCTACTATATTTGCACATCTACCCCACTCTTCTTTGCAGAACTGCTCAAGTTCAGTTAAATTTCATGGTGACCGTTTGTAGACTGCAGTCTTCAAGTCATTCCACAGATTTTCAATG